GAAATTGACTTTTGATACTTAAGCACAAAAAATATCAGATACTTTAAGACTTTTACTCAAGTAATATTTTTAGAGAAGACTTTAACTTTTACCAAAGTATTTTTATGATAAGATACTTGTACTTTTACTCAAGTATCACTTTGAGGTACTTTATACAACACTGACTTTAATCAGATTAATGATTAATCATGTTCTGTGGTCTGATGACCCGTCAAAATAAAAGTCAATAAATCTCTCAGAACAAGTTTAATAAGACTTTATAAATTAAAAAATGCTGAGTAGACCTTTTTAATTTTATTAAAACAGGTTTTATTTAGCATTTTGGTTTTTTACTTGAAGCTAATGCTATTTTTGACTGTTAGCTAGTGGTTTGCTTCTTTTAATTTTTAACTAGCATGTTCCTTTTCTTATATTTTAATCAGGTTTTGCTTCTTTTAGCGAGTTCTCTGCTTGTTTTAACTTTAAGCAAGCGTTCGGCAGTTTTTAGCTGTTATTTTCAGATGTTTGTGTGTGCGTTGAGCTGCTTTTTTCAGCTGTTTTTGCTTGTTTCTGTAGTTTTCAAAGACTTTTTGGTTAAAACGAAACGTCCCGGCACCGTCGGCACACTTCCTGGTACCACCTTTCCCTGAAGGGATTCATGCCATCCTCATTTTTTTTTTATCATCTGTGTATCTTCTACACACAGCCCCCACCTCGCTGCCAGCCCCCACCCCGCCCCTGTGCTCAGGGGATTACTGTGAGCCTGGACTGGGAATGAGGAAAGCAGGCCCAGACCCGTTTAAGTCCCAGACTTTAGGGTAGTGACTGCATGGAAAATTAAACACACACATACTGTACACATGCAAACACTGAACTCACTGACACACACACACACACACACACAAACATCAAGCTGCAGCTAAATATTAGCTTAGCTAACAGGGCTGGAGTTGCTAACAGGGCAGAGATCTGCGTATCATTTGAGGTTTTTTGTCACCAAGAAATGAAATGATTTTCATCCTGCAGGGAGCCTCTTTAAAAAGAGCTTTTTGTGCGTAAATAAAGTTTTATAAAACATTTGATCTCTTCCCTCTAAGGAAGTCATGTTGTGGAGTTAAATTTGATCTTCATTAGCATAAAAAACTGCAACAGTTGAGTTAATTTTACAAATATTWRGCTAAAATTTGGCGTGGTGGTAGCTGGTCTTCACCAACAGGTGATATGTAAGAAAGCACTTTGTTGCCTTCGTGCCCGTTTTTATTCTTTAAAAAGTCGTGCTGCCGGCTCATAAATCTCTGGTGTTGTTCGTGTTTTTGTCCCGGAGGGAAGGTACGCTCGTGTTGGCTCGTCCTTCCTTCCAGTGTTTCGTCTCTCAGCAGCTGCTTCCTCTCAGGCCCTGCAGCGTTTCTAAACGCTGAGTTAGCATCACATTCCTGAACGCATCCTCCGTCAGAAGAGGAATAATAAAATAAAAAAAACGTTGCTCCAGTTTACAGAAGTATCTATTAATGTTACGAAACATGGAGGCCTGCAGCGCTCCGAGGTCAAGCAGGTGGTTTCTCCACCGCTAACACGATCCACGTGCCGCCTTTATACGACCGCATGAGTAACCAGAAAATTATTCTGCTCTTGCTTTTCATCACTTTTTACATYGTCGGTGCTTTAATTGCCTCCATGTGCAGAGTTTCATCAGAGAACTAAAGGTTCTCCTCACGTTTGTCTTTTTGTTTTACGAGCTGAAATCCGACCGGCCGCTTGTCAAACGCTGTTTTGGGTTCGGTCTTATTACACCGTGTGTGACATGTGGAATTATCCGGCCACTGATCGTTTGCCACAGCTGATGATTGAAGCTGAAGGCGTATGGAGCGGTCTGGTCTAATTCCTGGGGACTCAGACAGAGGCTTTAATAACAGAGGCTGATGTCCTGCTGCTGCTCAGCTGGACAAACACTCGGCTGCTCGGAGCCATTGTTGCTCCAGGTGCACAAAAATACACACGCACACGTCGACAAACATGCACGCCTGCTGGAAGCTGTAACAATTATTAACTAGAAGGGTTTAAATTATGCTTTTATTTTGATAGACTGCTGATCAACTTTGAACCGTAAAGTTCAAATAAAGCTGCGTTTTATAAACCACAGCGTCGATGTTTTGTTTCGGCTGTTTTTTTTTATTGTTTTGGTAAAATGAAGCAACAGTTCTCAAAGTTGGTTCTAAAATTTTCAAATAAATAAATAAATAATACAACATAAACTACATTTTTTGTCAAAATGCTGTGAACACTAAGGTATAAATGACTCAATGAAATTTGCTGAAAAAGCAGAAACTGGGTTGTTAAAGCTCATAGTAGCAAAAAGCTAATAAAAAGCTAAATGTAGCAAGAGGCTAGCTCCAAAATAAACTTAGCAGACTATAAAAGAAGCAAAACCTCAGCTAAAAGTAACAAAAAGCTGGATAAAAGTTGCAAAAACAGTCTAAAATCGAAATGTAGCAAAATGCTAGCCTAGCTCAAAGCTAATAGTAGAAATTAAGCTAAAAGCATCAAAAGGTTGGYTACAATTAACAAAAGTCAACCTAAATGTAGCAAAAGACAATCAAAGGTAGGGAAAGGCTGGATAAAATAACCAAAATATAACTAGAAGCTAAGAAGTAGCAAAATGCTATTAAAACCTGAAGTAAATGGCTAGCTCAAAGGTAAAATAGGCAGGAAAATAGCTAAAACCAGCAAAATTTTAGTTAAAGAAACTAAAGTCAACCTAAAAACAATTTAAGGTATGGAAAGGCTGGGTAAAATAGCAAAAAGATAACTAGAAGCTAAGAAGTAGCAAAATGCTACCAAAACCTAAACGAAGTTAATAAGTAGTACCAACCTAAAACAGGCAATAAAATAGCTAAAAGCAGCTAAATATTAGCTAAAAGTAACTAAAGTMAACTTAAAATAGCAAAAGACAAGCTAAACTATAACAAATGGATGGTTAAATGTAGCAAAACTCTAGTAAAGTTAAGAAAAGTTTTGGTAAAAGACAGCTTAGCAACAACAACAGCTGGAGGTTTTAAAAAGAAAAATGTTTGAAGGTTTTGAAGGTTGAACTTTAGTTTTAACTGTTAAATTCGCAGTAAAAATTATCAATTAAATCATAAACTGCCATTGTTGTCTATGTTGCAGTGCATTSTGGGTTATGTTGTGTTCTCGGCTCCACATCCTGCAGTAAATCGGTACAGAGTCTTTTATTCAGATAGTTACATTTGAACGTGGACCAGTGGACCAGCTCTACACCCTCAGCAGGGTCCTGGAGGGTTCATGGGAGTTCAACCAGTCTACATGTGTTTTGTGGACTTGGAGAAGGTGTT